ACATTACATTACATTACATTACATTACATCACATTACATCACATTACATTACATTACATTACATTACATTACATTACATTACATTACATTACATTACATTACATTACATTACATTACATTACATTACATTAATTACATTACATTAATACATACATACATACATACATACATACATACATACATACATACATACATACATACATTACGTACATACATATATATATATATATACACATGTATATATATATATATACATATATATATATATAGATATGTAAAATTATATCTACATATAACTTGGAAGACAAGGTGGCATTCTTCGAGGGTTGGGCTCCAAGCAGCTCTAGAGCCTCTCGCTTGGGTTCCTATGCAGGGTGAAGGCCTGGCAGGGTTCAGCATATGTAGGTATGTATGTATGTATGTATGTATGTATGTATGTATGTTTAGATATAGGTATAGATCTAGATATAGATGTAGGGTCGTTTTCGAAATTAGGATCCCTTTTAGGGTCTTTTTGAAAAAGCGCCGTACTATTCTGGGGACCCTGATTTAGAGAAATATCCATAGAGGGTTTCACATGTTGGGCTTGGGGCTGTAGAGTTCGAGGTGACGGATCGAAGTTGGGAACGCGGGGCTTCCACGTTTAACCCTACCTGTACCCCCAAACCCTACGAAAATAGCATGTTATGACCCCTCAATTATAGGGTCTAACCCTGAAAACGATAGGCCGGGCGTGAGCGTAGACGAACCATCCACGGGAGCAGCTCCGTCGGTTTGAGACAAACCCTAACCCTCCAGGAACCTACTGTATAGGGCCCTAGGGGCTTTAGTACCCTTCTCGAGTTGGTACCTGGAGGGTTAGGGATATACTTTGGAATATCCTTTGAAGCATCTGGGCCGGAGTCACTAGCAAGCTCGGTGGCCAAACGTGGCATGGCTTCATCAAAGTTGCCTTGTTTCTCGCGACTTTCTGACTGTGCCGGAGCCTTGTCTTGAGAGCTTTATGCCTTGACGCAGAAAGAGAGGTAGCCACAGTCTCTCCTTGATAATAGGGGTATCCGGGGTATCCCAGTTTGACTAGCGACTCCCCACTCGCAGAAAGATCAAAGGAGCAGCAGCACAGCTGGGGATCTAGCCTACCTAGCCGATTTAATGTTCGGAAATCTTGTATAGTCTAGCCTTATAAGAAGAATCTCACAAATCCAAATAGTTCAATCCTAAAACACACCTATACCTATGAGACCCTGAATAGCCCATCAAAGCCCGACTGACAAAAAAACAGGGCCAAGCTGAAGCAGAGACCTTGGTCTCCGCCGCCGCCAGCGCCGCGGATGCTGCGGGCAAGACCTTTGCCATTCAGCACAGGCCAATGGAAAAGCCTTCTTGCAAGAGGGCTAGGGTTTCGGGCGTTGCAGTATAAGGGAGTCCTTAGCCCCGGAACTACAAATAGCCCAAAGTCGGCACTCAAGATAGAGTTGAGAACAGAAGTAGGTACTGTTTGTTTAAGTGGAGCCTCATAGTGCAAGGGCACTGTAAGGACTTAGAATAAGAATAAGGGGAAGAGTTTAGCAATGGCCGTAATTAGAACTGAACATTTGACAGATAATGAGGAAGTACATTGATGAGTTTTTCGGGGGGGGGAGGGCAGGATGTATGGGCCAGAATGAGGACATGCTTCTTAAAGCTGTGGTTGGGACTTTCGGTTGCTGGCGCTATTAGGGTGAAAGGCCCTCACGAAATCTAAGGCCTAAAGAGCCCAAGGCTTCAGGGAATCACGGACGTAAATCTGAAGGGGAGTCTGGCTCGGGGTCTGTGTTCGCAGTGTTCCGAGGTATTGGCCGGTATAGGGCGTAGACTGTAGAGAAGGATGGCCGACTCATTCTTTCACCATACTTTGGCAGCGAAAAGAGAAAATGCCGTTCATCTTCAATACAGAGAAAGACTCGCTACCAGGCCTAAACTTTAAACCGAATGGTACATGTCAGGCACAACAATCGAAAGCATGCCCTCCCTAGGCCAACCTGAACCATAACACCTCAACTAACAAATTAACATGTTCGACTGAGACCCCACCCGAAAACCTAAACCTCCGAAAACTAGGTTCTAGCGAGACGCACCCCGAAACACCCAGAGACTCCAATACCCCTTAATTAAGGAATATGATTTAAGGTATATTCCTTAATTAAGGTGTATTGGAGTCTCGCCATTTTCCGAGTCTTCGGACTCCCAAGGAAGGACCAAGGCCCGCACAGCGCGGCCAGAGTCAAAGCTGCCGATGCCAACGCCATCCATGAGATCTGCATGTAGGGTTTAGGGTTTAGGGTTTAGGGGTTTAGGGTTTAGGGGTTTAGGGTTTAGGGTTTAGGGTTTAGGGTGTAGGGTCTATAGGGGCAGAGAGCAGTCAGACCCTAAGCCCTAAACCATGAGCAGCAAAGCTGGGGTAGGGGAGCTCAGGGCTCGGACCTCGCCATGACTGTACTTCCTTCTGAATGACGCGTCCAAAATTTCCTTGTATAGACAGGGGAGGGGTTCTCAGCACAGAATGGGTCTGCCCAGCATTGAGAGATCCAGGCATGAGGTTCGTGACGCCTTTCTGCGAGAAGCTTCTGGATCCATGTTTCCTGTGGAAGGTGGGTTTTAGCAGCAGTGTCGAGCCGCCAAAGATTTGAGGGATGCCGCGAGAAGGGGCCGGATGACTGAGGCTGAGAGCCTGCAGCAGGCGCATTTGCAGGGGCGGATTTGGGGCTCTTTATAGTAACATTGTATTAAGAAGCCCTACGAAACATGTTGGTAATTACTTTGGCCCCTATGTCTATGTCACTTCCGAGATGCCATGTCGGAAGGTAGAAGCCTAGACAACCGCGAAGTTGCTTGTGCCTCTGCTGCACTGGAACTGTTTATCGTCTTCAAAAGGTCACCTGAACCCTAGATGCTGAACAGGATCTTACATTACCCCCTAAACCCTATAAGCCCTATAAGCCCTAAACCTTATAAACCCTNNAACCCTATAAACCCTAAACCCCTGTTTCCCGATGCCCCGTCCATCATTGCCTGAAGCAGCTTTCAGGGCCGGAATGGAGGGAATGCCGAGCTGCTCGCACCAAACTTCCGGATCCTAGCGGGTTTGGGGCTCGAGCAGTGAGGGCTTTGGGGTTCCGGTGTGTCGGGGCTTGAGGCAAGCACAGCTTAGGCCCGCCCAGGTTCCCATCTGATGCCGTTTGGTTTCGGGATTCTGACGCCATCTCCTCTTACCTGTTTATTCCTAGCACATTCGGAGAAACATCGCCAGTCGTCCTCGAGGAGCAGGAGCAGGAGCAGGAGCAGGAGCAGGAGCAGGAGCAGGAGCAGGAGGAGCAGCAGCAGCAGCGGCAGCGG